GTCCGTCTTTAGACAGGTCGGTGAGTAATGCTCATTGAAGCTGTTTTTATTTTTTTCTATTCTAGAACTAGCCCACTTCTTCCTCTCAGACAATGTAATGGCTCCCCAGGCTCAGGAGCTGGCAGGTGGCCTAAGAAAATATATTGATGTTCCATTTGGAAACAGACCTTTTAATTCTGTCCTTATTCTTGCCCCTCCTCTGCCTCCTCTAACTGCCCCCAATCTGTTATTTGAGAAGTAGGACAAAGAAATGCAAGAGGAAGGTCTTGACTTGCTGGTGATCACACCAGCTCCCAACGAACAAGAGGGCATCCCCGTATGCTTGGTCTGGACCTCTTGAATATGTTGTCTGCCAGTCTAACTCCTATTTTATGTTCAGGTCTGAAAAGAAAAATAAATGAACATATCGTTATGGGAGCAATTCACCTCAAGTATGGACATCAGAGATACGGCTTTAGCGGGAAAATGCCTCCTGTCTTCTCCCTCCAGGATCTCAGCCTTTATTCTAAGACCTTTGAACTCTCACTGTTGCTAACCGTGGTTAGTGAGAAAGTGGGAAAAGAGGAGGCACATTAAATGCTATGGGTGGGTCCCTAGTGCTTTTCATTCAGTAGAAGAAACTGGACACTCGTGAGGGAGAGGGGGATGGGTCAGCTGTGTCTTCACTGTTAAGCTCCTGGAATATCTAGGTCTCTTGTTTTCTTGTCATCCTGGTATTTGGTCATTAACCCTGCAGGGGATAAAATTAAAACCAGTGAAGATAAACGAAGTTCAAAGGTACACCCTTCCAGTTATAAGATAAATAAGTCCTGGATGTAATATACAGCATGGTAACTATAAAAAATAAAAAAATACAAAACCCACAATATTTCCATTACAGAGTAGATGAATCTGATCATACTTAATGAAAGAGAATTTAGCTCCTCTTTGTCCTCACATGGTAAAAGGAGGGTGTCCACTCGGTCTGTCCTTTATTTTCCAGCCGCTGCCTTTTAGTAATCTGATTTCTCAGGGTATTTGACTAGTCAAGCGTATCCTGACCCTAGTTACTGAAGCAAATTGAGAGTGGGCAGTACATGTGCTCATTATTTTGCTTATTTCCTCGTCTAAACGCAAGAACTATTGCTCACACTCCAAACCTGGGCCAGGACCTAGCATCGACGGTACTGTGTAATTCAAGGTGGGATAGACTCCCTCCCCACTAACTCTCCCACAACCCATTTCACTACCTGCAACTGTACTAGTAGAGAGTTATTCATCGGCCTAAAACCTAGCTTTACTTTTCCCAGGGAGAAGTGATACCAGATTTAAAAAAAAAAAAAAACTTTCTCACTTTTCTTGATTTTTGAAATTGGTATGCATCACAAGTGATGAATATATTACAGTGTTCTTTTTCCCCAACAAAGTTTCATTGAATTTATAATGCATTTTCAGTGGATGGTAGCTTAGAATATTATAAAGATCATATATTGAGCCATTATTAGTTAATCGTATCTGAGTATGAATTATTTTAGAATTTTTATTTCTGAAGTTTATCTGAGAAAAGGGCTTTGTGGAATTAGGAATGTTAATATATTTTTTGTGTTAATATTTATGGATCATCTTACAATGTGCCAGGCTCTGCTTTTGTTAACCGAATCTTGCTTGATCTTTAAAAGAATCCTACAAGGCAGGTATTTTCTATAATAATAATAATAATATTAATAATAATAGAACTAGCCTGCTTAATAGTTACATTATTATATTAATATAATATATTAATTATATTATATATATATTAATATACAATATAATTAATATGTTGATACATAATGTATATTAATATTAATATGTAATATAGATAATATTAATTAATATATAATATATGATAATTATAATTATTATATAATAATTTATTATTATTATTATAGAACTCTGATTCAAATAATTTGAACACCTTTTATTTATTTATATAACAAATATTTATTGGTATTTATTATCTACTAGGTACCAGGCATTCTTTTTAAGTACCAAGGACTCAGAGATGAATAAGGCGGTTAGTGTCTCTGATCTCAGGAAGCCAACTGTGATAAACAAGCAAAAATAAGTGAGATAATTTCAAATATTAAGTGCTCTAAGGAAAATAAAACACAGTGCATCTGGGAATTACTGATTATTGTGGGGCTTACATTTACATAGGTGGAGGGAACAGCAGGTGCAACGCACTGAGACTTTGATTATGGCTTTTTTCAAGGTCACCCAACTAGTGTATGGCTCTGGGTTTTAATCCGTTTCTGCAATAATAAGTGACAGTGGCATGCATGGAAAGTTTTGCTTATTCAAGGTGAAGCCACAAGAGTTATCAGAGCATGTTATTTGCAGATATTTGCGGACTGGAAAGGTGCCAGGACACCTGGACTGCAAGGTCCACCCCCTGTGCTTGGAACACTAGGGACTGCAGAGGAAGTGTTTGTTTGAATCATTTCTGGAAATGGGATTTCTTTGATGTTTTCTCATTCTGTTTGCCTGACGACCACACCAGAATCAGACTTTTTAAAGGCCTCTCTTGCCTAATGAACTAGATGCTTTGGAAAAATCTGCCAAATAATAGAAATATTTCTCTTTCAGCTTAACTGCTGACCCAGACTAGTCAGAGAAATGGCCTTTCAAAGGATAAATCTATGAAATTCCATTTCTGGGGCCAAGTGCCTTGATTTGCATTGAGCATTGTTGTAAATGTCAACCGTCCGGCTCCCACTGTCAGCTTGAATGGCCGGCAGTGTTTATCCTCCCAAGAAAATTGCAGTAAACTTATTCAGCGCATGGTTGGGGGCTGTGAGGCTGTACTGTTTCTTGTTAACCTCAACCATACCCCTCTTATCTGTCCTCCTTCCTTTTTCTCCTGTGAGTCACTTCCAAATATTCCAAAGTTATGATGAAATGCTGACTTCTTCGCTTAGCTGGATTGTTAGTTTTCCTGGGCTACTCTGCTGAGCTGGCATTCCCATGACTGATCCTATGGAAGGGGCTGGGAGGGTAGGAGAATGTGAGCTGGTGGGAGAACGTGAGCCAGTTGAGGGGACTGAACAAAGGAACAATATGTGGCAGTTTCCCTCCCTGCAACTGGAAGTAGATGTGAAGAGCCCAGGGCACAAATTATTCCAAATCAGAAATACCAGAATGCATGTGCTGTCTTGTTTACCACTGTTTCCCCAAGACCTAGAACATAGTGGGTGTTGAATAAATACTTAATGAGTGACCATGATGGCAAGTTATCTACTAGCTTAACCATAGTCTGCATGGTCTCCTTGGTCCCTTTCTCACAATGACTGCTGGGCTTTTGCCAGTTTGCTCTTGAGGAAGGGGTTGAGACTAGAAAGGGAGGGAAGCCTGCTACTATTGCTGGGCTTGATTGGCTGCAGCTATCATGACTCTTTTTTCCAGCTGCAGAGCAATTTGTGTGTGATAAATGGTACAGAAACAATGTCCCTGGCAGCCAACTGGCCCCTCACCAGTTCTTTGCAAAGACCAGCCAGAGACGGCTCTGGTCTTGTGCCAGGCTAGAGAGACGGCAAGAGCAAACCTTGCAGGTTCTTAATCCTCACAGGGGGCTCATCATACCTCTATAGCTGTTGTCTGGGGTCTGGATCTTGGTTGATGAATCCCTTGTGATTTTCCTTTGGAGAATCTATGAAGGAAATGTCATTCTCCCACTTCCCTCTAGCTGTACATGTCTGCTTTAACAGAGAATCGCTTTGCTTTCCTTCCTTTTCTACTCTCATCTCTTTGACTCAGAATGTTCTCTCCCACCGGTTACTTCTTGCTCCTAGAGGTATAAAAGACAAGTTTGGTTTTACAGAAACATCAGGAGGATGAATTAGGTCACTTGAGGGATCTAGACTAATAAATTGGAGTGTCTTAAAATCCACCTGACCTGTCCTTCCATCAAGCTGCATCATACTGAACCGGTCTAGGAAAGATAATGTATATAAATGACACGTTTAGCCCAATGACTGAGGGGTTATGTTACCACGGTTCATGGCTTTTGAGACTCAGACACTTTCACACTTTAATATTTCAGAATTTAAGAGGTATCTTTCTTATAATGCACATCACACATTAATTGGCAGTGTTATTTTTCTTTTTTGGTGGTAGATAAAATAGTGGTGTTTCTTACAATTGATGGAGTACTAGATTTCATTAAACAAGGCAGTTAATTTTGGCCAGAATTGTCTCAGTTTTTTTTATAAGACTTTTTTAAAGAGAAGTCTTAGGTTTATAACAAATTAAGAGGGAGGTATAGAGATTTCCCATATACTCCCTGCCTCCATACATGCATAGCCTCCCCCATTGTCAACATCACTCACCATTTTTTTTTTTAACCAAGGATGAACCTACATTGATACATCATAATCACTCAAAGTCCATGTTTACCTTAGGGTTCACGCTTGGCTTTGTACATTCTTTGGGTCTGGACAAATGTATAATGACTATATCCATTATTATAATAATATACAGAATATTTTTTACTGCCTTATTCATCTCCCCCTCCTGGGGCAACCAGTGATCTTTTTATTGTCTTCATAGTTATACCTTTTCCAGAATATCATATAGTTGGAATCATAGAGTATATAGCCTTTTTGAATTGGTTTCTTCCACTTAGTAGTATGCATTTAAATTTCCTCCATGTCTTTTTGTGGCTTGATAGCTCAGTTTGTTTTAGCACTGAATAAAATCCTCTTGTCTGGATGTACTGCCGTTTGTTTATCCATTCACCTACTGAAGGACTTCTTGGTTGCTTTCACATTTTGGCAATTATGAATAAAGCTGCCATAAACATCCACGTGCAGGTTTTTGCGTGGACATGATTTTCAGCTCCTTTGGGTAAATATCAGCAAGTGTGATTACTGTATCAAATGGTAAGAGTATGTTGTTTTTTAAGAAACCACCAAACTGTCTTCTAAAGAAGTGTTACCATTTTGCATTCTTACCAGCAATCAATGAGAGTTCCTGTTGTTCCAGACTCGCCAGTGTTTGATGTTGTCAGTGTTCCAGATTTTGGCCATTCTGATAGGTGGGTACTGGTATCTCGTTGTTTTAATTTGCATTTCCCTGATGACAAATGATGTGGACTATCTTTTCATATGCTTATTTGCCATCTGTTTATTTTCTTTGATGAGGTATCTATTAAGGTCTTTGGCCCATTTTTAAATTGCATTTGTATTTTTATTGTTGAGTTTTAAGAGTTCTTTGTATATTTTGGGTAACACTCTTTTATCAGATGCTTCTTTTGCAAACATTTTCTCCCAGTCTGTGGCTTGTCTTCTAATTCTCTTGATAATGTCTTTTGCAGACAGAAGTTTCAATTTTAATGAAGTCTGGCTTATTAATTGTTTCTTTTATGGTTTGTGTCTTTGGTGCTATATCCAAAAAGGCATCACTACACCCAAGACCATCTAGGTTTGCTCCTGTGTTATCTTCTAGGAGTTTTATAGCTTTGCATTTTACATTTAGAAATAGAATGTATTTTGAGTTTATTTTTATGAAGTGTGTAAGGTCTGTGTGCATATCAATTTTTTTTTTTTGCATTTTTTGCATCCAGTTTTTCTAGCATTATTTGTTGAAGACACTATCTTTGCTTCATGGTATTGCCTTTGCTCCTTTGTCTAAGATCAGTTGACTATATTTATGTAGCAGTTTGTGTTTTTCAGTCAATTTTTTTTCTATTTAGTCTTAGTCATTCAGACTAATCTAGGAGCAAAATACTCTATAAGCAATCTATTTTTATTATTATTATTTTTTCATCTGGGCATGGAGCCTCACATGGGACTTGAACTCACAACCCTGAGATCAATATCTGAGCTGAGATCGAGTCAGACACTTAACCAGCTGAGCCACCCAGGTGCCCCAATAGACATATTTTTAAATGTGTTTGTAATCATACTTATTATTTTGAATATATGTAGATAGATTTGTATGAAGGAGGAAAGGAGCCAGGAGTGAGAAATTTGGGGTTCTTGTCCTGATTTGGCTTTAGCTAATTATAAGACCTCACATAAATCCTTGCCTTTTTCTCTCTTTTCTTGGCTATAAAATGACTTGTATGCAGTGATGGCAAATGTTTTGGTTTCATAGCTGCCTTTCCCCCCCATGGGTCATTATTCTGAGTCAAAAGCATGAGGGGGCTGATTAATATTTCCTCAGAGTGAGGTTATGTCACAGTGACTTGCCAGAACCTCTCGTGCTAGACCAAATTAGTCTTCTCTGTAAGATAATGATCCTACAACATGAGCATATAATAAGAATTCATGGCTATGGAGTGCCGACTGAGTGCTGGGTATTGCACTATCTGCTTGTTGTGATTGAATTGTGTCTCGCCAAAACCACTGAAGTCCTAACCCCTGGTACTTATGGATGTAACCTTATTTGGAAATGGGATTTTTACAGACGATCAAGTTAAGATGAGGTCATGCTCAGCACAGAGCCTGATGCAGAGCTTGATCCCATGACCCTGGGATCATGACCTGAGCCAAAAATTAAGAGTCAGACACTCAACTGACTGAGCCACCCAGGCACCCCTAAAGATACCACCTTTCTAAAGGGCAGTTTGACAACATGTATTAAGCATCTTCAACTGTGAATATTCTTGGAGCGATTCTAACTTCAGAATTTCTTCTGCCCTTCAGAAATTGTTGGAGCTGGACGAAAAGATCTAGTTACACAAGTGTTTATTGTAGTATAATCTATAACAAGATTGGTTAATATGGTAGAATATTATGTGGTCTTTACAAATCCTGTTGCTAAATGAGAATTTTTAACTGTTTTTGGGTCATGCACCATTTTGAGAATATGGTGGAAACAATCAACTCCCTTCTTGGGAAGAAGACACATAAACACCTACCCAAATTTTGTGTGTAATTTCATAGAATTCATGGACTCTCTGAAGTCCATGCGCAGACTTGGGTTGAAGACTACTACTTTGTAATAGAGAGTAATAATTTGTGATATGGGGAAATAGTGGCAAAAGCACATATGTGCATAGTCACACGAGACTATTTATATGTATAGTTGTTAGCTCTGAGAAATGTTGGAGCTTTTCCGTATTTCTTGGATTTTCCACTGGTAGAATGAATTATCTCAATATTATTTTTAAAGTTACCTTAATATGGAGTAAAAACTACATCGGAGGCTTAGAGAAGTTCCTGAGAAATGTAGAAAAAATTAAAAAAATGAAGAAAAGTGCAAAGGAATAATATTATGTTGCCTACGGTAATAGGTACTCCTATGAGGAGGCACACAACAGTTCTCTGTGCTCTTGGAACATTTAAAGGAAATGGTTATAATTTAAACTAAAGTTTATACTTGGGCAGGAAATAGAATTTCTTTTTCTGTCAGTGCTGTAAAATACTTAGACGGGGCACCAAAGGACAAGTGGGACCTGTGTCCATGAAAATGCAAAAGGTGTAGTAAAAAATTATCAGTCTTTTTGGTTTAAGAATCCCTCTCCCTGAAGGCATGAAACAGAATCAGGTGATTTATCTAGAGCCCTTTTGCTCCATTTGTCTATGTTTTTGAAGCAGGGAACGCTAGTACACAAGAGGGGGAAGCATCGCGGGTACTCAGCAGTCTGCTCCACCCCCACATCCTTTATTGAGGCCCCTTCTCACACAGCCATCAGCTGGATCTCTATTAATAAATATGGGCCAGCAGGGAAACTGGTGATCTAATTTCAGCAAAGCTGAAGTTCATTTTTATGCCCTAGCTTAATCCACATCATTAAGTGAAATATACAGCGGGGAAGATCTGGTCAAGTAAAGTTATCCTCCATGCTCCTGGTTATTAACATTAATAACTTCTCTGGAGGAAAGCACTCTGTTTTTTGGCCAGAATCTTCTGGAGACCTGCTGAATCTGTAGGGGACTTTCTCTAATCCACTCCAAAAGCTTGGCAGTCCTTTGACCTTGTTATTTCTTGTTTCCTATCATGCTTACCATTCTTTTTATGAATCCCAAGTACTTCTGCTAAAAGTATATACCTTATAGCAATTTAGTTTCTACAACAGAATGCACAAACTGGATATCATTGTACACACACACACACACACACGTGCACATGCACGCACACACACAGAGAAACATATACACATATTTATACTACATGTGTAGATGTAGAAGTATGCAATAAAGTTTATGGATAAGAGCATGGGGTCTGTGGACAGACTTTCTGAGTTGGGCTCCTTGTTCTATCACAGCTCTGTGAACTTGGGCAATTTATTTAACCTTAGTAAACTTTATCAAAATGGGTGTAATAATGGTTATCTTCCCGATAGGGTAGTGGTGATGATTAAATGCATTAATACATTATAATATTGCCTGTACTACAGTGCGTGTTTGCTAGCAGTATCAACACTTGCTGAGTGTCCGAAGGTTTATGAGAAATTCTCTGATTTATTGTCCCTCCCAGTTCCAGGTCATGAAATTCTTGCTTGTTCGTAAGGCCACAGAAACCAAGATCTCCTTTGGATATTATATACCTTTCCTAACACTAGCTACTGTAGGGCAGATATGATCCCAATTGTCTCGACTGGTGCTTGGTTATCATGTTGACAGGATGACCCAAAGGCGATTCATGACGTAGAGCTCTCCTACCTTTGGACACCCATGGGAATAGAGTCCTTCTACTTATTCCTAAGTTAACTTATTTGCCAAAGATACCTGAAAAAGAGGTTTCGTCTTAGTTCCAGTCTGAGAACCACAGATTGTCTTGGAAGTGTAGAGTGTCTTTTCTGGTCCTTGGCTTCACTGTCTCATGAATCTAGTCGTGATCATCTCTTAATGTGCTCTCTGCCTTCCAGTAGGCAGCCTGAATTCCTCTTAGGTTTTCTTGGAATCCCAGACTTTCCCAGATGAGCTGGAGGAACTGGTTATATTGAGATGTTGACAAGGATAGTTCACAGAATCATGGATGGGTATCTCTCCCTTCACACAGAAGTAAAATTTCTAAAGTTGTATATAGATAAAATTTTTGTAACGCAAATATAAACTTGTTGGAGCACTGTTCTTTTTTGGGTATGGGTAAGGATTCTGCCATATTCTCAAATATGTCTGAAATATTTTAACCATTTTGATTTCCTGAAGGTTGTATATCCTGGATTTACTGGAATAGCACCTGCTTTATTTATTTCATTCTATTCAATAGAAGTGATTTATTAAATCCACAACCAGAGCAACCTATTTAGCCTTCCACATTGATGTAAATCAAAACCAAAACAAGAACACACCTTTCATGGACCCCAAGTTCTGATATTTGGTTCTGAAAATATGGCCTTTTGGGCCCACAGCCCTTCTGGTTTCACAGGTTTCTCAAAATTGCTACTTAGAAAAAGAGGCCAACATGGTTTGGGAGTCTGACAGTCTCCTCTGAGGTGAAGACAGTGCTTTACTTTTCATACAGGGCATCTCGGATTGAACAGCTCCTTTGGCACCGTTCATCGTGGTGCACTGGGCCCTCTGTACCACGATTGTTGGCTTGTTGGCTCTTCCATCTGTCACAGACAACCAAGAGCAAAGTTTGAGTGATCCTGCCATTCTTTATCCCCAGCTCCTCCTTGCTCTCCATTTCCCAAGGCTGCTCCACTTCCTCCACTGGTTAGCTTCCTCACCTGGGGAAACTTCAAGTCCTTACTGAGTGTCTGTCCCTAGTCAAAGGAAAACTCTGGAAAGCTGTGTTCTTTTTTCTTCTAAAGAAGATTGGAGGGGCTTCTGGGTGGCGTGGTTGGTTAAGCATCTCACTCGATCTCTGCTCAGGTCATGATCTCACAGTGAGCTTGAGCCCCACATCAGGCTCTGCGCTGACAGCGCAATGCCTGTTTGGGATTTTGTCTCTCCTTCTCTCTGCCCCTCTCCAGGTTGTTCTCTCTCTCTGTCTCTCTCCCCCCTCTCTCTCAAATAAATAAACAAATAAACAAAAAAAGAAGATTGGAGAAGCCATCTCTGTGTTGTGTCAAGTGTACGTTTGGCCTGAAGTGCTCCAGTTGTCTAATCTGAGAAGTCTAGAGCTCATCATTCATTTTTATGTCTTTGGGCTGACGGTTCTTTAGCTGGTTTTGACCTTAGGCTAGAAAAGTAAATTACAAAGGATTTAATAGTGCAAATAATAACTTTAATGATGTATAGAAAGGACACCTTGATGGATGAAAGAAGACCTTTAGGGCCAACCTGATCCCTGAAATTAGAGGGAGAAAAGAGTTGGGTCAGGTCAAGTGTTTTTAATCTTTCCAGATCAGAGTTCTGGTTTTGTGAACCCTCTTATGGTTCATAAGCTGTATCTGCTCTAGAACATTTTAGGAATCTTAGCACAAAACCTTCTCTAATAGGCTTCAGAGTTGTCTCAGACTAATTTTCCTTAATTAGATATAATGGATTGTCTGATGAACTATATGACTCTCTGGTCTGGCGGAGGTAATTAGCCATGAATGATTGTACTTGGCCGTTTTTTTTTTTTTTTATTATGCTGGTGTGCCGATTATGTTTTTATTTTTCACAGCTACCATTTGAAGAAGCCTAAAGACTTTACTGAAGTAAATACTGTGTTTCTTTTCTTTTAAAACACCTATTTAAAATCAGAACACCTTTATTTGAGGTCTGCCACATTATACCCCTTCCACCCCTGTGCCCCACTTCACCCCTAGTACTCACTGGTTGTATGATCCTGACAAATCACTCATGCTAAGTCTGTTTTATCAGCTATATAATGGGACTAATAATGATCCTCACGGGGTTAGATGAAATAGTATCACAATACTGTTTAATAAATAATGCTATGTCATGTGCTTTATAAAAAATAATAATGAGAATCTCCAAAGCTTGCATAAGCAATATTTTTCAAACAGTGGGTTGCAGCCCATTACTGCGTCCTGAAACTTACTTACTAGGTTGAGATGACCAGTTAAAAAAAATAGCAAAATAGAGTGGGATAGAAAACATAAGTATGCTCACAGGTAGTAAGGACAAGTGTTTTCACTGAGGGTTGTGAAGTGAAAGTTTATGTATAATGTTGTAATTTTAATGTATTTTTTATTGTGCATGAAGGGCACTGATGTTTGAGAGCTACTGTTTGGGATTTTGTCTCAAAATGGAGACGTTATCGATTGAAACATAAAATTTTGAGCAATTTTATCCACTAGTTTTCCAGCTCCCTTCCTCTGAATTCTTACTGAAGAAAAAAAAATCAGTATTTTGAAGTCCCAGACCCACAGAATCTTAATCAGATACATTAACTGATAATTTTGAAAGCACAGTATTTCTGCCTTTAGCAGACACTGCTGCCTACCTAATTGCTAAGGTCCCACATCTCTTTCTTCCTTACTGCCATCTTGGGGGTACTGTCATAAAACTCAGGGAAGACTGCCATTATCTTCAGTTACAGGGATAAATCCTGACAGCTCTAAGCCAATTTTAATGGTTTTATTTTCGTTGATGGTGATTAATTTTGGAATGGACATGTGACATAGTTCCCGCCACGAGATGCGAGGACTGTTCTCCTGAGGCGCTTCTGAGAATGGTTTCCTTGCAGATAAAAACAAGTCATAGGAAAAGATTCCCTCCTTTTCTTTCTCTACTAGATGTGTCATTCAGTAAAGCCTGGGTATGTGACAGACAACAAGGAACTATTTGAGGACATCCCAGTGGATCGCAGAGCTGAAAGAATGGAATAATGGGTAAGGGATTAAATCCCAAATTTTACTCACCCTGAAGCTAGTCTACATCTACCTTTGACTTCTTTCTAAATGAGATAATACATATTCTTTGTGATTTAATCCATTTTACGTCAGAGTTTCCTGTTGGCTTGCAGCTGGAAATCCCATAGCCAATACACCCAGAACAACATTTTGATTATGTTCCTAAGAAATGTAACCCCTGTCACTGCATATCCTTGGAATATTTTGAGTTCTGTCACATGGCCATTTACAACCTGAGAGCCAGGTGTGAGTCAGAAGGTTCTCTATCATCCTCTTTTAAATCATTATTCCTCACTTTCTTTGGAGTCCTTTCTCTATATAGAGGTTGTTGGTATAGGTGTGTGAGGGAAAGAGATTCTTAACACTTCATGTTGGTATTGTGCTTTGTACCTTTTGAAATAATTTTATATCTATTTTTATTGAACATTCATTAACATATCTATTATCGAACACCTACAAATGCTGGAGGGGTAGGCATTTGGACATACAGTGGTAAGTATGTTCAACATAGTTTGCCTTTCCTGTGAACCTAAAAATTCTCAGTAACTTTGTAAAGTAGGGCAACTTTTATTAAATGTATTGTTTTGTGCATTTATTCATTAATTCACTATGTTTTTGATGAGATTCTGTGTACATGGCAGTACGTCAGGGAATGCAATGATAAACAAAGCAGACATGATTCTTGCCTACTCTACTCTAGCTCTTCCTGATCATTTTGTGAGGGGGTAAATATTATGAATTCATTCACTCAATAAATATTTATAAAATGCCTTCTGTGTGTAGACAAAACTGAAGCCAGAGGTGAAATGACTTAACGTGCATCATACTAGCTACTGAGAAAGCTCAATCTAGCACACAGAAATCTGTGATCTAAGTGACCTTCTCACTTGATCACATTGTCCCTTAGTACCAAGTACGATGAGAATTACTTCCTGAGAACACCTTGCTCAATCTGTAAAAGAATTGGCATCAACGTTGTCTTCTCAAACAAGGCATAGAAAATTAAGCTGGAAAATTCCTCTCAACTTTAAATGTAACCTTTACTTTTATATCCTAGGGGATGAAGCTAGCCCAAATGTTTTTAGTTCAAAAGACTGGGGTTCCATCCAAATGGAAGGTTTGCAAATGAATAAATAGGAGTATTAGGGTCCTTAGAGAAAAGCAAAAATTCTAGAATTTATGAAGGAAATAGCCCTTCACTGTAAGTGGATATTTGTCTGTATTGTATTGCCTCAAAGAGCCCATGTTTTGTATCTCTCTGTGTCATGGGACTTCCTGTGATTGTGTTATTTGTGCCTTTCTTCTCTTCAAATCTTTCTTTAGATTCCTTACTTTTTCTAAAGTGCCTGGCCCTATCTAATATCTCTGACTCAGATCCTGATTCACAAGGACAGAACACATGCTTTAAGGCATAAATATAGGGCATTTAATGCCCAAGAGCCTAGAAGTGTTGAAGTAACATAAATTCTCATAATTTGGAAACAAGGTTAGAAAAGACCACTTTCTGATATGGTAACTACCAAGCATCAATACACCATGACATTAGTTACCTAGAGGAGATATTCCTAGGAAATAGTGTATGTTAAGACAGACAATGATGAAAACAAGAAAACCAAAAAGATTGAATAAATCAAAGAAAAAAAGAAGCTAAAGAAAGTGGTAAAGGATAAGCAGAGAACATGGAGTTAAGAGGATCATCTTTGAACTTCGAAATGACTTGGTCCTAGGAAGTAAAGGTGGTCCCAAGGTCCATGTGCATATGGATTCCAGGTGGCTCTGGGAGGGTGAGAAAGCCCTTGGAAGGGAGCTGATAGGGAAGCTTCCCATCAGTTTACTGGTTCTCTTGGAATCATCTGTCCCTGCTCAGAATACGTATAGAATTTTATCCTCTAATGGTATTGTAACATTCTACTTTGCAGTGTAGTTATCAATTGAGTGAATGGCCCGCCTGGCATCTTTTAGACTGTAGTCTAAAAGGATTGGTGCATTCTTAGTTCTGTTCACCTATTTATAGCTCCAAACATAATTCCTGGTATATGGCAGACAGTCAATGAATGTTCTTGAATGTTCAATCAATGAAATGGAACATGGGTGTGAGTGTGAATATAACTCAAGCATAGAGGTGAAAAGTTGAAATGCGTCATTCTATTTTTATTTCATTTAACTTCCTGAGTGGTTGTTGCTTTTCTTGTTGCAGTATTGTTGCCTTCCAATTTAGCAAATAATCAAATAGTGCAATATTGGAAAGCTAGTTTCCTAATGGAGGCAGAGAAATATGAAAGCAACAAGATAGTGACAAAACGATCATCAGAGGAAAACCCGTTATTTGAATCAGTTTGTTTGTTTGTTTGTTTGTTTGTTTTGTAAGACAGTTACCATAGATTTCTTGGATATGTCCCTGTATATAAGCCAGAGCGTACACACACACACACATTTTGGTTTGTACCCAGTGAGAAATATGCCCATTTTCATGGAAAATGAAATCAGTGTCAAGGTTGCAAATAATTTTCTGTTTGAAAATAGTAGCATCAATGTGTTCTTGCATAGCCGACCTCCAAACAGATTGTGAACATGAAGAGCTTGGCCCAAAATGCCTGAGCTTGAATCTCATCTCTGCCTCTTACTAGCTCCATGCCAAGTTATTTAACCTCTCTGTGCCTCAGTTTCCTAACGCATAAATTGGAAATGATGATAGCTCTGTCTCACAGGGTCCCTGTGAGGATTAATGAGTTAATATATGTTAAGTTATTAGAACAATGCCTGACTTATTATAAGTGTTGACTATTATTATTAACAATCAAACATTACTGATAATATCAAGATTTAATAAAATATTAATAGATTAAAAAATTTAGAGCCACTGCATTTTGTAGTATTAGTAAGTATTGACCAAGAAAATGCACAATTAATTAATTAAAAGCTTTTAAGCTCTTAAAAATTATGCTTTTATTTTTTATTAATTTTTAAACATTTTTTTAAAGTTTATTTTTGAGAGAGAGAGAAAGAGAGAGACAGAGAGAGCGTGCACACGGAAGTGGGGGAGGGACAGAGAGAGAGGGAGACACAGAATTCCAGGCAGGCTCCAGGCTCTGAGCTGTCATGGGGTTCTAACTCATAAACCGCAAGATCATGACCTGAGTTGAAGTCGGCGCTTAACCAACTGAGCCACCCAGCTGCCCCTATAAATTATGCTTTTAAATAAACTTGTATTTTATTAATCAATGGCATTTATATATACATTTGAAACATAACAGTACTGGACATTTATGAATATATGTGGATATACTTGTTTGTGGCATTGTGTGTGCATGTGTGTGTATGGCATTGTTTATTCAGTCTTTGCATGAAGCACAGTAAGTATATGACTTTGTGGCCCTTGAGGGATCCATGATATGTGCAGTCCTCAGTTTGGGAGCCATTGGCTTCCTAAACCTAAATGCTCACTTTATATATCAGTCATACAGATCAGTGCAGATCCTTTTCCTAAAAGATATTAGGTTAAGAATTGATTAAGAATCAAGTACACTTAAACATAGTTTAACCAACAGAACCGGGCTAGGATCTCCCTTAGGCTAGTGGAATTCACTCCATGGTTCCAGGAATCTCGTGGATCTGCTGGAGATTAGTGAAGGAAGAACCAAGGGCAATTTTGTGATTGGAGGTAATGTAGACAGCAGACTGATTAAAAGCACACAGCAACTCTGTGAGGAAGGTGGTATTATTGTTTCTTTTTATAGGTAAGAAAACTGGAGCTCAGAGAGGTTCAGTGACTTGCTGAAAGTCTTACAGTAGAGCTGAGATCCAGATCTGAGATCGGCTGTCACTAGGGCAACATATTTTTATGCTACAGTCCTTCCAATAATGGCTCTCATTTTAAGATAACCTCAGGATTGTGCAGGGTTTTTGTTATATTTTTATTTTGCCTGACCCCTAGCATACATCAATGCAATGCAATGCAATGGGGCGCCTGGCTCAGGTCAGGATCTCAGCTTGTGAGTTCGAGGCCCGCGTCAGGCTCTGTGCTGACAATGTGGAACCTGCTTGGGATTCTATCTCCTGCTCTCTCTTTCCCCTCCCCTGCTCTCTCTCTCAAAATGAATAAACTTAAAAAAAAAGATCGAGCCTGCTTAAATGGCTGTGGGCATGGACCTAAGTCTCCATTACAAAGGTGGTGATGGTACAGCTGATGAAGAGAGTGGTAAGAAAGAGGCCATTCCAAATGGTTTGTTTTTCAAAGAAGGGAATGGAGGTAGATAAGGAAAAACCCTATCAAAATCAAGTAGTGCATATCCAAGGAGTTCTAAGGGAAGGGAAGGCAGGTAGGCTCACAGAGACACAAGGAAAAGAAGGAGGCTAATAGCTAATATGCATCCATCCTGGTTGGGGGGGAGGGAGCTTTTTGATGTAGGGTGGAGTGGGGGAATATGGGAAGGACAGGTGACCCTTAATGATTAAATCAGTTCTTTACCTTTTTTAGCCGCTCCATGTCTGGGCTGGGATGACATTTGAGTGTGTGATCTTGTCTTAGACCAATGTTTGTTTGTTTGTTTGTTTTAAGCTGTTTATCCCTTATTGCTGGCAGCTGGCTCATGGTCCCCCTCTCTTCTACTATACCTCTTACTCTCCAGCCCGTTTTTGGATTTTCTGCCTTTGATGACTCCAGAGGACACTCTCACATTACTTTATCTTATTAAATGTTATTCCTGTGAATGAGGTTTATTAAGCTCCTTCCCTTCATCTCCAATCCTCTTGCTGAGTTCCTGGTGACCTAACAGTGTGTGGAAACGAGTGATTGCTTATTGAGCAATCAGTGCCTACTATGTGTTAGGCACTGAGAAAACCATGCTCGATGAAACAGAGTCCCTCCTTTAAAGAGCTAGTATCCTCTTATGGAGGCGACTTTGTAAGAGGGGAAAACAAAACTGCATATAATACAGTGTAAGAATATAATGTTAAGAATATGTGCGATGCTGAATGTGAACCCCCTTATGCCAATGGAGTCCACTCAACCTTAGGGACATTTTCCCTGTCTGAGAGGTCCTTGTAGGTCATTACCTGGCAGCAGGGAGAATGGAAATGGATGAGTCAGGGACTGTGAAATGATTCCACCTTTTCAGTGAACAGAGGACTGTGTCAGCCCAGAGTTGGCCTCTGTATGGAAGTGCAGAAGAAACAAAAGGTACAATATGTGAGATAATTATGCTTTCCCATCGTAAATTTCTTAATACTGTCTGCACTTCTTCCTCTCCTTACTTAGATTCAAATTGGGTGAGTTAGTCTCAAAAATTTTTTGGAAGAGGATTTAAAAAGAAACTGGATGAAAATCTGTCTGGAAGCTAGTTGGGAGATTATTTTGAAGAGATGATGGTTCCTGGAGCCCGGCTCCTGATTGCTCAAGGAAGTACCTGAGAATAATGAACAGTAATGTTGGGACAGAAGAGAAGCTCAACCCAGAAGTGTTGTTCTGAGCGCCTGGACCCTCCCTGGCAGGAGCAGTTGACCCAAGAGAAGATTTTGCAAATAGGAGGAACCAAAACTTGGCACCAACTTTTGGAAACACAGGTTAACTGATGTCAAGAGATTCAAAATGAAAATGCTTCAGGATAAAAATTTGCTAAATACTAGGAAGACTCAACCTACCTTTGGGAAGCCATCTGTCTAACTGTTAAAGTATCTCTATGGATTTCAAAGTTAAGGAATGACACAAAGGAGGGATATTAAAGTGTTATGTAAATATGCCCCTGTTAGAGTAGGATGTCAATGAAAAGTAACCAAAAGACTGACAGAAAAGACAAGACGGTGGGTCTTTTCTTTTAGCTTCCTTCCCTCCCCTCCCCTCCCCTCCCTTCCCCTTCCCTCCCCTTCCTTTCCCTTCAAATGGAAATTGAATTTCCTGAGATGGGAACTTGCAAAATCTCTGAAGTCCCCAAGTAACAGTGTTGACTCAAGATCCAGAAATAGTGGGAAAGGAAAACTGGCCTGGGAAAAGGTCTACCTGGGCATGGATGGGACAGTTGCTTCTGGGCTGTCTTCAAAAGAGGAACTATATAAAATATGAATCAACAGAGATACAACTAGCTAGGGGCCAGGCACTGTTTAATGCTTGTTATTTATGCTGAACCAGAAGAAACTGTGATCTGGAATTTTGGGGTGGTGGAGTCCCCAGAGCTGTGAATGGTGTCACTGCAATTCGATAAATATTTATTGAATATCTGTGTCCATCAGCACCATGGAGGTACACCAAAAACTCTAAGATTTTTACTTGTATTCTTTGGTCGTATCTGGGCTGTGATTCATGAATTGGATGAAAATGCGATGGGAGTTTTGGATGGATTAAAAAATGCAGCCTGCACGACACTGAGCATAAAATTATTTGCAGATAATTGAGAACTGACCTGATGTCTGAGAATCCAGAGCTTGCTTGGGAGCACATGGAACACATCCAAGGCCCCCAAATCCCATCTCCAAAAAGTTGTGTTATTTTTCTCCTTGCTGTTTCTCAGAGAGCAGTGGGGATTTGAGGGTGGGGTGGAGGGGTGGGACAAGGGTGAGCTTGAAGTTGTATATTAAGGAGAAAAGCCATTTCGAAATTGAGATCTGTGTTTACCAAATATCTGGCTTTAAGGAAACAGTATTTAATCCAAAGTGAAATTGGTGGATTTCACAGATGCATTTACCCCTCTATAATTAAAAGATCAGTCCCGTACAGTTCTTTTCTTTAAAGATGATTCTATAATGTGAATAAACCATTCTCAGAAATGACAGCTTCTCTCTTCTGAAACCTTTCATCTCTTCCACAGCTGATTAAAAGGGCTGCTCATGGTCTTTTTCAGCGGCTTATAAGGAATATAAAGCAAAGCAGTGCAGTAGAAAGAGATGAATAAAGATGCCTTTGTTCCTGATCACGTGCCTGAAGAGAGAACACCACTGCCCTTGAGGCGCTCTCTTGAGTGGGTTCAGGATCTTCCCTCTTCCTGTAGCAGTCTGCGTGATTCTCTCACAGTGCGGCATGAAAAAGCGGTACTGTTCCCTCTGGGCTGTGCCCCCACCATGGAAACTGCCCCTGCCGCCTCCATTCCCCTTCGCCCAGACAGACGGAAACTGCTAACAGCACAGCGTGTTTAGTTACTCCCTCTGCCCAGTGGAAACTTGTTTCAAAGAACGTAACAAGGATTGCCTGGTGTTAGAAGGCTCAACAAAGTGAAAATACATTTTGTAAAATAATTTGGCAACATTATCTGAATGTACATGGTGTCTGTTTGGGGGAGTTGCAAAGGAATGGATGGGCGTATTTGTCAGGGAGGGAAGGAGGCAGAGGAAAATAAATCCATAAATCCCTCTCTCTTTGGGAGGCACCATATGACTTTAGTTTACACATCGCATCTGAATATCTGCCCAAGGAATGTGATATGTTTGTTTTGATTTTTCTAAACTTATAAATTTCCTGGAAAAATAAGACATCTGGTCTTTGGAAACCTTTTCTCTCATAATCTTAAAATTTTTATTTCTATAATTTCTTGTTCCTTTGCTTGGGTATCTTCGAGATCTAACTTCCTGGTGGATTCCTTAGATATGTTGGTGATTTATTGTCATTTGTAGCCCTGGCCCCTATGTGTAGCCTTACACACACTAGGTGCTTGATAAATGTTTCTGGAAAAAGTGAATGAATGGAAAAATGAAGAGGTCAATCTTAACCTGTTTAGTGAAAACCTGATGAGTAAGCCTCTCCCCTTAGAAATATTCTGGTCTTGATAACGGGCTCAAATAATAAGTTGCTGTCAAAGAGGCTGATTTTCCTTGGGGTATTACTGAGCTGGACCCTTGGAACATAAGCTTCGGGAAAACAAGCCATACAATGGCCACTGGGGGTAGGATAAGTGGAAAAGTGGTCAGAAAAAATTTGTTCCATTTCTCTTCAGGAAAGTCTTTGACGATTTAGCTGCCTACCTCAGACTTACGAGGCTGTTAATATTTGACTGTGAAGAAGAAAATAAAGGAAAACATTGCAGGTTGAGTTTAATTCACGGAAGAGTGTGCTCATGGCAGTCTGAAATCTGATCTCTATCAATAGGGCCAGGCATGAGGGTGAGGACGGTGGCATTCTGTGTCGGCCACCAATATTGTTTGTGTGCAGGAAAGAGGCATAGTCCCTAGTTACTCTTCTTTCCAGCAGCAGTGGGTAGACAGGGCAGAGTAACATCATTCTCTTTTCTAAGGTCACAACTAGGAGAAGAGCCTATGTTGATTCTCTAGGGCTGCTATAACAAAACGACACACACTGTGTGGCTTAAACAACACAAGTTGGTTTTTTTTTTTTATAGTCTGGAGGCTTGAAGTCCAAGATCAAGGTGTTAGTGGGGTTGGTTTCTTCTGAGGCCTCTCTCCTTGGTATATAGATGGCTTTCGTTTCCCTGTGTCTTCATATGGTTTTCCCTTTGTACATGCCTGTGTTCACGTTTCCTCCTTTTTAAGGACATACTGGATAGGGTTCATCCTAATGACCTCATTGAATATAAATGATCTCTTTAAATGTCCTATTTCCAACTATATATTCTGTGATACTGGGGATTAGGGCTTCAACATATGAATGTTGGGGAGGCACAGTTCATAATAGGACAGTTGCAGCCAGATCCTTGTTCCATCATTGTTGGATATAAGTTATTTTACTTCTGGAGGAAAGTTAAGGCATAACAGTAGAGAATAGATAACGATTGATTATAGGGAAGAGTAACCAGAGAGTTAGAGATATTAAAATAAGCTGGCTAAGGGGCAATAATATAGCTGGGTGTGACTAATTAAAAGAGAACAACCACATTTACTCACATTGGGTGAAAAAGAGATTCCTAGCATGCAGGAAGAACAAGGGCATTTTTCACTCAAACAGTATAAATCAGACTTTCATATTATTGTGCCACTTGAGGAAGCTTTTAAGAAATGAACAATTTGGGGGCGGCTGGGTGGCTCAGTCGGCTAGGCATTCGACTTGGTTTTAGTTCAGGTCATGATCTCACGGTTTTATGGGTTCAAGCCCCACGTCAGGCTCTGTGCTGACAGTGTGGAGCCTGCTTGGGATTCTCACTCTCCCTCTCTCAGTGACCCTCCCCCGCTCATGCTGTCTCTGTCTCTCTCAAAACAAATAAATAAACTTAAAAAATTAAAAAAAAAAAGAAATGAACAATTTGGGGGCACCAGGGTGGCTTAGTCAGTTAAGCATCTGACTCTTGTTTTTAGCTTGGGTCATGATCTTGTGGTTCGTGGATTCAAGCCCTGTATCAGGCTCAGCGCTGACAGTGCAGAGCCTGCTTGGGATTCTCTCTTTCTTCTTCTCTCTCTGCCCTTGCCCTGCTCCTGCTCGCTCGCTCTCTCTCTCTCTCTCTCTCTCTCTCTCTCTCTCTCTCAAAATAAATAAAATAAAAAACAAACAAAAGAACAATTTGAAGGTTGAAGGACATATGAAAGTGTAGGAAAACAAACTACGGAGAAAAGACAAAAGAATCAATATTGTTTAGTTCAGTGAAATCTGAGAGGCGAAAGAAGGCTCTGTGATATAAAGAATGGTAGGCGTCTTAGGGCTGCTTTAACCAATTATCATGGACTGGGTGCCTTAAACAACAAACCTTTATTTCTTATGGTTCTGGAGGCTGAGAAGATTAAGATCAAGGTGCTGGCAGATCTGCTGTCTTCCTGGATCACAGATGGCCGTCTTCTTGCTGTGTCCTCACATGGCAACAGCAGAGAGAGAGCAAGCTCTGTGTCTTCTCTTTGAAGGGCACCAATCCTATTCATGAGGGCTCTACCCTCATGACCTAAGGACCTTAAAGTCCCACCTCCTAATGCTATCACACTGGGATTAGGATTTTAGCATATGAATTTGTGTGTGTGTGTGTGTGTGTGTGTGTGTGTGTGTGTGTGTTGGGGGACGTAAACATTAAATCTACAACAGCGGGGTTGTGCAATGGGTTATTGGATAGTGTGGGCCTAGAAGGTGTCCATTTCCATTGATGTCAAAAGTTTCCTCTAAGAGATTGTAAAAGAAATAAGCACTTATATGGATGGGAGTTTTGGTGGATATAAACTCCTGGGGCTTATCCTCAAGATGCCTTTGGAGAGAACTAATGATGTTGAATTTTGAGAGTCTTAAATTGAAATACAATAGAGAGATAAAAAGTTCAAGCCTAACATCAAGAATAGGGAACCATTGCCTGTTAGGGGTTAGAAGAGATGCTGTGATGTTCTGGACCAACTTTCTCCTTTTAGAAGAGCCCACAGAGATTTGGATTCCAAGGTCACTCAGCTAGTATGCAGAAATACTGTTGCAGGTCTCAGTTTTTCCCTTTTACTAAACTTCTTAAATGTTCTTAGGCAAGTTACTTAAACACATGTTATTAAATATAGCTAGGGTAGTGTAGGAACTGCAGGAGGGTGTAATGAGAATTTAATGATTTAAAATATTGAATCCTGTGTGATTGAAAATGTACATGAGTCCCATGTGGCTCAAAAATCCTAGCACTTTAAAAAGGTAATTAAAATGAAAATGTGAGCATGTGGCACTTTATTTAATGTCCTTTTTGTGGAGCCAGAACTCAAGGGGAAAATCTGTGCTTTGACTGCTCAGTGCTCCCCATGTAACTGTGCTTTTATTGCAGCTATCTGATTTTCTAGCTTAGAAGCAGAAAGCAGAGGGTTATTTATTGCAAAAGGACCTCCTCCTATTGGCTCCTACTTCTTTTTCTTCCTCCATAGGATTGTTTTTCCATTTTGAGAAAGTTTTATGACAAGGAAAAAAAATTCATGTTTTTTTTTTTTCATGCAGAAGGGCCAGTATTTAAGCTATAAAAGAGAAACTTGTGCTATAGAACTTTGTCCATTTTAACAATTCATCCTTCTATCATCCATCATTCTCTTCTTCCTTGGGATTCGCTCTCTCTGCCCCTCCCCCACTCACACTCTTTCTCTCTCAAAATAAGTAAGTATACTGTAAAAAAATATAGAGAATGATTTTATTGGTACAGATTTGGAAGTATAGAGTGACATGGCTATTTAATTAAAATTTTGAATCATAATTTTAAAAGTAAGCTTATTAAGTTGGATGTAAGAGACATGAAAGTCATATACTGAATTCATTCAGTATTTTCTGAAAGATTTGATGTTGGTTCAAACTTTTCCACCTTAGAAATGATGGAATAGGGGCACCTGGGTGGCTCAGTTGATTGAGCATCTGACTCTTGGTTTCAGCTCAGGTCATGATCTCATGGTTTATGGGTTCGAGCCCTGCTTCTGGCTCCACTCTGACAGTGTGGGGCCTGCTTGGGATTCTCTCTTTCCCTCTCTCTCTGCCCCTCCCTTGCTTGTGCACACACTCTCTCCCTCAAAATAAATAAATAAACTTAAAAAAAAAAAAAGAAACGATGGACTAAATC